AAATACCATTAAGCCTGTGGCAAGGGAGAAGGAACCAGTATAATCATTGTACATCTTTCCCCCCAGATTCACTCTCAGCCTAGGGTCTAGCTCTTGGTCTGCTGGAAATGACATTTTTGGATTACACCAGAAAAATCCCAGTAATGTTTCTGCCATTGCCACAGTCCTACTGTGTTTGTCCTTGTGACAGATTCATCAGCCTGTTCTGCTTCATCATCTGCATGGCTGAGATGAGAACACCAATTCTCTGTCTCAGGGACATGTGGTGGATTTTGAAAATGATGTGGAGCCAGAGAACATTGTCATCACTGTTTAATAATGGTGAATGATACTCAGGAGCTTCTCGCGCCTCACAAGTCCTGCTCAGAACATGCAGCCACCTCACAAGGGGAGGCAGTCTCTGTTCCATCCAAATGGGCTGTGTAAATAATATCCTGTGTAGATAAATGTCCTGTGGGAGCTGCTCTGGTGCTGCAAACCATCCTCCACCATCAGTGACCCCACTGAACCCTGGATAAACACTGTGGGGCTGTGACCAGAGACTGCAGGAAGGAGAAGCTTCAAGGGCTGGTGGTACCTGGTCAGTCTCTGTCACCTCCCTGCAAGAGAATGCACACATCCCTGAGTGCTGTTAACTACCCCATGGATGGGATAGTAAAAACTGATTTCCCCAGAGACCCTGAATTCTGTATTCTGCTACTTTGGCCCAGGCTAAACATTACTTATCTCATTAAAAGATAAGTACTTAATTTCAAAAGTTCAAAGATGAGGAATCCTGACTCTTGCAGATGGTCAGAAGGCATCTAAATGTTCTTCTTCTCACGACACAGTTTGGACCTCAGAAGGAAATCTATGCCCTGTATTCCTCTCTTCTGAGTACTGTATCTTTTATATATTACTTTGCCTTTATGGATTATGCTGCAAAGAGTTGCTAGGTATTATGCTAAGAGATCATATAGAAGGCATTGTTAAAAACTATTTTATCACATTTACATTAAGGTGGTGTAATCAAATATTTTGGTATTCACTGTGGAGCAATGCTTCTTTTTATGTTAAATTTTTTAAGTTTTAACAGCATCCAATTTCAACTTTTTCCTAACCGGGGTGAACAAGGAGAGAGGGGGAATACAGTAAACTGGAGACATTAACCTCAGATTATTTTCTTTGGTTCACAAAGCCCATTTCATCATATGAACATTCACTTCAGGAATTTAAGACCACTCTTTCTGAGAGGCAACTCCACTATTAAGAGACAGCCTTAGAGCTACAGCCTTGATGATGTTTCTGGAGTTATACATGACCAAGGCAAAGTGTTTTGACTGAATAGAATGCAATATTGCCAGAAAAAAAATCTTCAATTAAAAAAAAAAAAGAAGTGAGGAAGCAGGACTGAACATTCACTCTCTAATAGAAAAGTAATAGAGCTGTCCTTATGAGGACCATGTTCTTTATTCATGTCTTGAAAAAACTAATCAAAATTTTGATTTTACTATTCAGATCTCCTCTATTTTGTTCTATAGGTCTTCACATGTTTCAAATTTGCATATTCAAATGCACTTCTTATCTTTCCACTATCATCTCTTTCTCTAGACTTCTCATCAACATTATCTTCTTGGTATCACACAATTCATTTTTCTATTTCCTACTCAATATGCTCCCTTTAATTCCTCACCATGTTGACCTATTTTCAGGAACAGTTTCTTATATCATCAGAAGTTGAAGCCAGTGTATACGTTAGAATTAAGTTCTGAAAGGCAATCTACAGGGGTAAGAGACACAAAAACCTTTACCTCTCACACTCTCCATCCCCTGCAACATACTCCAAGAGGACAATATTGCTGTCTGGATATGTACACACACGGTTACTGCTTTTTGCTGGGTCTTACACCCTTAATTGAAGTTCTGGATGGCACACAGTGGGATTGCCCAAAGTTTGATAGACTTCTGTTGCAGGAAAAAATTCTGTTAACAACACATTTTAAAATTTACCTTATAGATTTTAGCCAGACAGATAAATGCAGAATAGTTCCTAAGCCTCAATAATGCAGAATCACACACTAAGTCATCATCATTCCTTAACGTTAGAGGAACATTAAGGTTGGAAATTGTGGTGCCTGCCTGCAAGATAACATGTACCTGCAGATTTTGAAGCAGACTGTATTTGACACATCAGAGTAGAGCCAGGAAGAAGACAAAACTAGTTATCTGCAACTGGGAAATAATGATGGGAGGATAGTTATGTTATATATCAATAAAGCCATAGAACTGTTATCTGCTGAGCCTGTGGATGCATTAGATGCCACAGAAATTGTACAAGAGTGGAAGTGTGAATAATCTGGCCAGGTAGGTGTGAGAAGCTGATTAAAGAGGCTCAAAAAGTGGGAGGATAATTGAAACAACAAATTTGTTTTCCTGCAAGATTATTAGGCCCAGTTTGGTGCATTCAGTCTCCTGGGGTCCCATAAACTTCCTCTGTCATGCTGGAGGACAACAGGCTCTGTGCAGAAGCCTAGGAGGAGCCTTTACCTCTCATCAGCTTGACCTTGATGTGCCCACAGTAGCAAACCTAATCTGTGGGAATGGCAGCCTGGGTCTGCCTAACCAGGCCACTCCTGCTGCCACCTGCACTGCTGTGTGGCAGCAAAGGCAGGGGTCTCAGAGCTCTGCTGTCCCTCCCCTGGGAGCCAGGGACAGCACAGAACCTGGCAGGGAGTAAATGAGCGCTGCCAAGGAAGTAGGGAACCTCTGCTTCAGTGAGACTGCAGCCTCACAAGCCAAGGGATGGAAGATGGAAGGATGCTGAGATGTTTTTGCTGTTTCCTATGTCAGTTATTTACCTGTGTTTACAAGCCTGGCACCACATTTATGTGAATATATATAAATAAATAGTTGTGGGTGCATCTCCACAGGAGACTGGATGTGAGCATTGTCAGAAATGGAGAGCTGGGGCCAGCCCTGCATAGTAAACAGCCATTTAAACTCAGGTCCTGCTGTTAAGGAAACTTCCCAGAGAGATCATTCACAAGGCTCTCCACCAGCCACACTCCCAATGTCACAGACTGCCACTGCTGGGACTGTCACCCCTTCACTGGGGTGGCTCCACTGACCCAGTGGGTCCCTGCCTGACTCCCTGCACACCCACTCACAGTCAGACCAGGCTTCCTCACTGGCTCAATCCCAGGATTTCCATAGCAGAGCCTCAGATGTCTCCTTGCACAGTGCAGTAGCACACAAACAGCCTGAACTGGTGCCTCCAAGGAGCGATCCTGAGCAAAGGAACCCCTGGGCTCTCCTCCCCTCACAGTCCAAGAGCACCAAAATGTCTCTCCTTCTCCCCCGCCATCAGCTCCTGCTGTGTCTCTCAGTGCCCCACACTTGGCTGTGCCACAGCTCCCTGTGCCCTTTGCTGTGCCAAGGGTGGCAGCTCACAGCCTCTTGTCTCAGGTTTTCACCCAGAGCTGAACCTGCAGCTCCATCCACAGCTGCACCCCGAGCTCCCTGCACCGAATGTGTTCCTCAACATGCCATCACATTGCCATGGCAATACCACCCCCAGGCCACCCTTACAGCCCACCACATTGCTCTGGAAGGATATCTCAGACGTCTAGGCTGAGTTCTGATCCTGCTCAGTGCATCACATAGCAACATGGCCCTGCACTGACCCACAGCAATTCAGGCATCGAGGTGCTATTTTGATTTTTGTGGTTTTGCTCAAGAAGAGCATTTCTGTGTAGCCTAAATTGGACATGGTCACAAGTACTTTGGAGTCTGCAGTTTTGGACAGAGGGAGATAGAGCTTTGGTCAGGAAGAGGGATGAATTGGGAAGCAGGTAGTGAGTGATCCTCTCATGGAGGAAAAGCATTGAGCTCTCGTCTCCTCTCCCAGCAGGTGCCGTGAGGAATCTGGTCACACTCAGCCTGGCTGCTGAGCAGCAGGCCTAGATACTGTCTGCACACTGACAGAAAAAAAGTAAGCTGCGAAAGCAAACAACCAGTATTTATTTGTGTAATTAAAGGAGACTAAAACATGATAGAAATATCTAATCACCACAAGAAATCCCGTAACCAATTTCCAACATGATTAAACTCGCATTGTTGCAAAATAAAGCAATCTAATCAACAGCCTGTGTTCTAATTACGTCTACCTGATCTCAAAATATTTCTGAGCTTGTTTATATCCCCAAGCCCTTTTATCTTGACGCACTGTAAAATCATTTCTAAAATGAATCAGGTAATGTGTTTTTCTTTCTGTGGCAGGTACGGCAATGTGAGCACAGGGAGGTTCAGAGACCACTGCCACGAAGTGATGATTGAAAATCTCAGGCAAGGGGGGGGAGCAATGGAGAGGGAAATGAGAGTGCTCAAGGGGAAGAAATAGGCCTACTCCTGGAAAAGGAAGGAAAACACACCGTATACAAATGAGGATATAACAGACTAACGGGGAGAAGAAAATATACAGTGCAGAAAAGGAAGATAGAGAGAGAGATGAAGGCAGGGCAATCAGAGACACCCAGAAGTAGGATGGAGGTAGTGGAGAGTATTCAAGACTCCCTTAAATTACCAATAATCAGGTTTTAAAAATTCACATTTTAATCTCCTTCTCAGGTTGTACTGTTTTATTCATTTAAGCATTTCCTCAAACCTGATCTTTGCTCTCACAGCTATAGAGTTCAAACAGTTAATGATGGTTGGTCAAGGAGGAGATGAGTGCATGAGAGGTGATATAGGCACACAGCTGAATTGTTAATATTTTAAATTACCTCCAAAAGACAGGGAAGAACAGGGACTTTGGGGAGTGGAAAAACTGTATGTTCCTGTTTCGCTATACAGCAAAGTTAATTACAAGGTTTGCACCACAATATTGGCTTCTGGATGCTACAGCAACATGTAGAATTAACAAGCATGGTGTGGCTGTGGGAAAGGCTACATGCTTCAAATTAGAACGACTAGAAATTGGACCAGCAGACTAAGCACACAAATGACGAAGAGGGAAAAAGAAATGCAGACTTTCAGGGTTTTATTTTCTATTATGAATTCTCACATAAGCCAAACTACTTTAAAAACTACTTTCCCTACATACATACATATTTTACTTCCAGTGTTACTATTTAAATAAATTTTGCCTCCTGGAGTGCTGAAAATCAAAAGGACCTGTAGCACACAGGCAGAGTCCCAATTAGAAAGACTCCAGACAAAATGCTGCACAGTGCTGCCCCTCATTTCTCAGACAACAGGAACTTACCCCAGGTAAGAAAAAGATAAGTCACTTTCAATCAGTGTAACAACAGCAAGGCTATTTGGAAGGGGGAAAGACAAAAAAAATAAGTTTCAACTGAAAAATGAGCAATATTCAGCACTTAAAGTGGAGGCAAACATTACCACATTGTTTTTAACATTCATGAAGATTTCAGATCATTGCTGTGAAACCCTTGCTCCCGTGTTTTCTTGTTTCTTTATGCAGCCAGAATAATAATTCAGAAGAATAATGCAGAAGATACAATAACTCCTTGTTTAACATCCATGGAATAAATTTCACTGCATGAAAGCTTTTTACTCCTCATCTATTTCATTTTAGATCTCTGAGATTTAATGCTTTTCCCATTGTTAGTCACTATTAATGGCAAGAACTCTCTTTTATTGAGATCAGTATCTGGGAGGGTGGTCTGTCCTCACTGAAAAACAGCAGGGTTCTGAAATTTTGGCAGGCTTCCTCTGAAGCACATCTAGAAGCCCTTCAGTGCAAATAGGTATTCAAAGAGGCAGCAGCTGGAAAACAAAAGAGAGAAAAAAAATGTTATTTTGACAATGACCTCCATTCCTAAATTTAAAAAAAGCCAAAAAAACAAAAATAAAACAACAACAACAAAAAAAAAAAAAAATGAAAGACAGAAAAGAGGAAGAAAAGAGGAAGAAATAGAAACCAAACAACAGCTTTGTGAGCTGTTACCAGGAAATGTCATGGATGCAGCCTCAGAGCTAGAAGAGAGGAAAATCTTGGCTCAGATTTTCACATTTACTTTGTACAAGACAGGGCCATGAAGGAAGGTTAAACCAACTTCTTGTATGGACTAATTTGCTTTGTTTAGAACCCACTGTGACAAATACCTGCCTCACAGGAGTTATTTCCCAAGGTCTAAAGGCCTTTGGGTGCCTGATCCAAGGGCAACACCAGGAAAAGCTTGGAGAAAAAATTATTTTGGGAGAATGCCAGCAGATCAGACTAAGACATTCTCCTCAACAAATAAGAGGCAGAAAGAAAATTCTAGCAAAACAAGAAAGGTGACAAAAAAAAAAAAAATTCCTGGGTTAAAATATGAACAAGCCACATCTTTAGAAGAAGGTTAGCAATTCCCAGGAGTCCTTACAAACCCCGTAGCACAGGTTTGGTTTTTGTGTAAGTATACCAGTGGCTATATCACAATACAGAGACATTCAGACGACTTTCATACTAGGGCAGGCCTGATTATAGGCAGAAACCTAATGTTGGCTGCACAAAACTCAGCGTCTAATAATTTACCTTTTTTTCCTCACCCCTTCTCTGGCTGCAGTGTTTATATTACTTAAAGTGCTCAAATCTCATTTGTTTTTGCATATCCCCTCTAAAAAGGTCTCTGAGCTTCCAAGGCTTTGCTGTTTATCCTAACACAGAGACACAGAGAAAGAGGACAATTACAAACTTCCAATTATGCAAAAAAGTTGGTGTAGTTGCTGATGATTTATACGTTGTTTCATCTTTTATAGGTCATCTTAAAAGGTAACATTTAAATTATTTGAGAAATTCTGACTCTTAAATTGGCTGTTTCAATAACGTTATTGCTGCTGACTCCCTCGAGTGCTTGTGCTCTTAGTTTCCTGATTTTAATTATTAATCCACCACCACATGTTGTGTTTCTCTATAGCAGAAGAAAGGTTAATATTCATAACCAGTTTTTTAGGTTATTTTTAAAGGCAGGTGAGGAACAGTGCAGGGGAAGATGGAGGAGGGAATCGAGTTTTAATTACTTGTTAATATTGCTATCTAGGTTGTGGAGCTGATAGCAGCTCTGCTCCTTCCCAGGCTCTTTATGTGCACATCCACAAGCACAGTTCCACCCAAGGCTGAACATCACTCCCTGTCTCTCTGAAATTACCTCTGTGCCAGCTGCTTTCAGGAGCCTCTGACCAGCAGCTTTTGCAATACTGATCTGCTGAAGTAATAATTGAAGGGAAATATTAAAGAATCATCCATAGAAAGGAAAACCTCTACACACATGGAATCTCATCTAATCTTATGCTGCATTAAAATACAAATAAAACAGACTGGCTTCTTTCTCTGGCTGGGAGGGACCAAATCCAATTTCCATGCTGTGAGAGCACAGAGCCTGCTGGAGACCTGAGCTTCTCTCTGCCTTATTCTTTACTGTCTCAGGCTGATTTTTCTCCTGACAAAAATCTGGACTTAAATAACCAGCACAATTTAGTCCCTTCTGCCTGAGTCTCCAAAAAGTGGAAAAGATTTTTCTTTTTTTCTTTTTCCCCTCTACAGAGACACACTGAGAAATCTTCCTTTATATCAGCAAGGATTTCCATCACAGACTCGACTGTACATTTATTATCAGAATGTAATATTTGGTCCTTTCTCCATAATGGGTGCACTCAACTACATCATTTATAGTGAAACCAAAGTGAGAAAGAAAAGAAGAAATTAAGAAAATCCTTCCATGGGCAATCTTTCCTCCATTTTTTTCCTCAGGATAAGGTAAAACCAGTTCACAATTAGGCACATCTGAAACTTAAATCAAAGCTCAGACTTCCCGAGACAGATCTCTATGCATGTCCCTGTATAACCTCCCAGGATTCACATGGGGAGGTTCCTGCTGGGCTACTTGCTTTCATTTTACCCTAAAAATAAAGTTGAAAGTGGACCAACTTGGTACCTTCCTGTCTTTCAAACATAAAAAGGAAATTGACACACACACACACTTTTGTACCATTTTGAGTTCTCAGCCCATTCAAAATAAGACCAGAGGCCACTTGCTTCCATTTCCCAGTCTCTCTCCTCCTTTTGCCCTCAGAAATGAACCACCAGCAGCTACAGGGTATAAAGTCAAGTCTTGCTCAGAATATTAAAAGGAGAAAACTGCAATCTGAAAGGTAACCCAGCAGGTATTTATGGAAGACAGAGTAGGATACCTACTACACTATTAATTTTCCTCATCTTACCAAGAGGTTCAGGATCATCTTTTTAATGAGGAAGCAGCTCTGGATCACCAGCATTATTCAATTCAAATTCAAAAATTAATGTTTACTTGCAACTCCTGCTGTATCTACTCATGCAAAATGCATTCCAAAGCCCATTTCCCCAGGTTCTAAGGGAGTGATTTGACTACAGCCCTGTCATATACATGAAATGCCAATTGCCATCCTGAGAAGAAACCCACAAATTTAACTGAGGAACAATTCATGGAAAGGGGAAAAAAAAAAAAAAAAAAGATATTAATATGTTTTTTGTTACCTTGTAGGATTGCTACAGAATTCCTTTCTACTGAATGAACCTCATGGACACTATAATTGCCACTTTTTTTTTTTTTAATTTCATTTTCAAGCAAAATTTCTTTGCTTTCAGAATTATAAAGCTTTGTTTCACTGCCTGTTAAGACACAGGTAACAGTAGAAAGAAAAATATAACATTTTCAACAGTTTCACTCACCTATATTCACAAGAGGACATTTACCTATTATTCCCTACTGTAAGGATGATGCAAATATTTATTATGCAGTACCATTTGAAAAGTCTTTTTTATGTTCTACATCAAAAAGATGAAGTGAATGAAAACTGAAAGTCTTGCTGCATACACAGGAGATAAAAACTCTAACCTGTAAACTGCACTCTGTTTTAAATTGCTTTTTCAAATCAGAAAAATGATGAAACTAACCTTAGCTTATTCTCTGTCACTAGTCAAAACATGCATGCCTGCCCATGGCTTCATGCAGAAAGCTGAATTTTGACTAAGATTACATAAAGCTAAGACAAAATATCTACAGAGACACTACAGTGATGCTTCTCTGAAAACATGAAAGTGTTCTTTCTGCATTGTCAAAGCCCTCTAGATGGCAATCTTTAGCAAACTTTGGTGATTGCAAACATTTTGGCCTCAGTGCAGTTTACAGTGTTTTCACTAATGTTTTTAAATTAATCTGCTGTAATGACTGTCAGTTTAATGAGTTATTAAAAGATATTCATGCTTTTGTAGTGCAAAGTGTAACAAAAATAGAATAAATAACATTTCGTTTATTGCAAAAGTTCCTAGAGTAAAATATATTTCTCTGTCTGAAGTGCATTGCAGGCTTTAGAGAAAAGCAACAGTATTTGCAAGCAATTAAATATTTTCTGGAAGAGGACACATGCCTGCAAAGATTATAGTAACCCATCTTCTTCCTGAACTAAGGTCTTTATAAATGAGAACTTCACTGAGTTTGAATAAGTTTCTCTGGTAGGGATTCTCGGAATGGTTTTACAAGCAGAACAACTTGTAAACAAAAGGAAAACCTGCTGCTAGGACCCCTGCTTAGCCTTACATCAGAATGCTGCATTAATTTGTAGTAGGCCTACAAATGTCAGTCTCATTAGATGAGCAAACACAAATTCCTGTATAACTCAGCTCTCTGTTACAGCTCCATGGAGCCCAATAACTTTGCAGAAGTAGATCCCAGCAGTGAGGCAACGTGTCTGGGAAAGGGCAAATCAGAGAGATTCTGACCGTCACTGCCATTAAATAAGATGGCAATCTCCAACATCAATCCACACACGACACATAAACACACATGGACTGGGATTCTTCTGTGCCAATTCAGCACATGACCACTGGACCCAAACAAAGGGATTTCTGAATTCCTGACCCACACAGAGATACCTGATAATAATCTGGAGCATGTCTCCAACCCTACATGCTTTGCTAAAGAATGTAGATGTTTGAAGCAGACTTGAAAACCTAACCCCCACACCCGAATCATTAGTTAGTTAGTTTGATTCAGTAAGTACATATGTGTTTCATTTAGTTTTTAAACCCCCAAATTAAGCCATGTATTCCCTCTTGTCTGTATTCTACCAGATGGATGCTACCTCATGCCTTATGCAGAATACCACAGGAAAAAAGAAATTAACAAATGCTATATAAAAGAGGAACAAGCCAAAAATATCCTGGGGTTATTTCAAACTCCAGCAGTTTTTTGCAGGTGTTCTGGGCTTCAACAGCACAGTGAGACTTTTTCATTCATGTTCTGCCTGCTTCCTGGAAAACAACACTGATGTGAATATCCCAGCTAAAGAAAACAAACCCCAATGTATATTTCAAAGGGAGAACTGGCTTTATATCCTATGGATTATTATATAGCTGTGCTCACAAACTGTGCCTAGGCATCTGAGGCATGTTGAACTCTTCAAGCATAAACAGAGCCAAGAATATTTATAGTTCTATTCTGTCATAGTGGATGTTACGATTGGACAAATAATAGGGCCCAAGGTGACATACTATAATATTAATAGAAGGGCAGAGGGAGAAATTACCAAACTAAAGTGCTTAGAAATCTACAACCTACAGCAAGAACACCCAATGTCATAAGAAAGTCATTCCAGACTAAGAACACATGGATTCAGGTTCCTTTTAATCATTTTGTCTATTGTGTACTCTGTTTTATGATGGTTTAATTGTAGCTGTACTTCAAATGTGGTGCACTGATGGGGGACAGCAGGGGAGCATTAGGCGTAAAATTTAACTGCAAAGCTCAATGCAATCCTAATTATGGTGCTGCTATGACACCTCCATAATTACTCATTCTTATCCACTGGCTCTACTAAAATAATTCACAAGACAGAAAAGCAAGCTAAGAATGCCAGCATTGTCACTGCAGTCCAACACTACACAGGACTAAAACATGGTGATGCTTGGCTTTTCGACACCCACATTCCTCCACAAAATTTACAGGAGCCTTATTTTAAGCTCTGAGTTCCTATACAATTCAAAGATCTTCTAAACTAGCTAGAAGGAAATGTGGAAGAGAGAAGTGTTTAAAATTTCATCTTTCTCAGACATCTCTGTGTGATATGTGTTAGCTGTTTTTATTCAGTCAGGATCCACAGCCCTGCAGGACTTGGGAACCTTTTTAACACAGGCAGGCAACTTACACTTTCCTTTCAAAAACCCACTAGAAATAGAAGTGGAAGTCGTGCTGCTCTTTTTTTTTTTTTTTCTTTTCATAACAACCAAGGAGCAGAGCATTTCATTCATGGACAAAATAAATAAGCACCACCATGCCTTTGTCCCTCTCTAGACCAGGCATGCAGTGACAGGGCTGGCATTCTCAGCTTGCTTCCTGTCTTGTGAAACACTCAGCAGAGATGGTGGATAGGGAAGAGTGATGATAAATGTGTCATAGCAGTGCAGTAATTAGGATTGCACTGGGTTTTGCACTTGATGGGAAGCATGGATCAATCTTGAGTCCTCTCTTTGCCTGGGGAGTGCCCTTATCACAGGGCTGGGGAGACAGTCCTTCACTTTTTTTTCAAAGGCTGGCCAATCTAGCCTCCAGCTTCACAATTAGGAGACTTTCATGGGAAAGGACAAGCAAGGGTCTGCCTTCCTCAGGCAGAGAATCACTTAAGACTTCGTCCTTCACATCATAATACAGAGATATGTATCAGGTCTGGGGAACCTTCTCAGTGCTTACTCTTCCTCCAGATACCTTTATCACATGACGGAAGCTAAATCAAGCCTGGAGAAATAATATAGGTATGTATTCACAGCCTTTCCAGCATCATGTCTATTCTGTCTATTTATTGTTTTACAGTATGTGTCTCAAAAGATCATCAGAGTTGGAGGAGCTACAAAACTCCTGATAACCTCTAACACGCACTCTGGGGTGTGAAAAAAGGCAGCAGCCTCTTCTATCACAGAAAGGTTAGAGAGCACTTGTTTTGGCTGTGCAGAAAAGGTCAAGGACAATTACCAAAACTCTCATTGCTGATATTTCAGTCTTTCTGCCCTCCAATTTTAGAGCAGCTTAGACAGTGTACAAAATCATTATTGGATCATGACGCAAGAGATCTTTAAATTTTAACAAGAGAGATACAGATTTCCTTTAGTACTGACAACTCCAAGTCATACAAAAAGTCTGAAATAAAAAGCTTTAAGAACTTTTGAAACAGTGAAAAATCTACACAAAATTTTGAGGGTTTTTTTTTTCATTTTTAAAAGGAAAGACTGTAGAATAAAAAAATAATTAAAAAAAAACCAACAACAAAACAAACAAAAAAAAACACCCACAAAAAAACACCCCTCCAAAACATACCTGAAACCAAACAACAACAACCAACAACAACAACAACATACAACTGTGAATCTGAAATGAGACACCACTTACTGCAAGAACATCAAATAAACACTAAGTTTGCAACCCTGTCCCTGCTCAGCTCATTCATTTACTGAGTGCAAGGTTGGTTGATAGGTACTGACAGCAAAGGTTAGATCAACTTCCCAATCTGCTGGAGGGTGCTTAAAGGATTAGTACCAAGGGACTTAATAATATTGAAAATACTGGATTCTCTCTGCTATTCTAGGTTTTTGCAGGGAGCTTCTTTCCTTGGCCTACACAATATTAAAATAACTAATCAAAGGTAAAATCAGGTACACTTTTCATTTCCTGATTATTTACTGGCTGATTTCTGAAAATTGAGACCCTTTTCACATAATCAAACTTTTAAACCAGTCAGGACTCAGAAGGCACAACCACAAATCCATATATATTCAATAAAACCAGAATATGCATGTTGACTCTAAAGATGAACTGGTTTTTTTTCCACAGTAATCATATTTAAAGTAACCAAAAAATTTTCTTCCTAACCAAAATTTTTGCTTAAAAAAAATCTACATCCACATTCTGTTGTATATGTATTTATATATATATAAAAACACATATATATGTGTGTGCGTGTGTGTCTATATATATATATATTTTTACACATATATATGTGCCATTTGTGTTCCCTGAGGAGTTTTCTAAACATGATTTAAAATTCAAAGCTTTCTCTTCATGACCACTGACAAAGAAAGGCAAAGGAAGTTTCAGTGCTTCACTTCCCTGAAGTCAGTTGAGGATTCACCTGCCTGCCTACCAAACATACATCTGTAATGTACAGGGTATGTGACAGCTGGTCAAATAGACTTTTATAGCAGCACAGAAGTGGAGGTTTATTCAGAGTGTGCCCGATCTCAGCTGAATTTAGAGGTCTAAGATAGACTAGAGGTCTTAAAATCCAGTGAAATACTTCTGCAGCCCATTTGCTGATCCATCCCACAATATGAAAAATGACATCAGATTTCCATTAATTACAGAGAGCAAATAAAAATCAAATGTCTTCAGAATACAAACCAACAAAATATTCTGGGTTCAAGTCCACCTTGCTTTTTCTAAAGATCTAAAATCCAATTATTGCATCATCCATTAAATTGCATATTTACAGCTCTCCTGATTCAAAATGCATGGAGAAATCCAAAGCTAACTAAATTTTCTTTACTTTCCAAAACACAATTTCTGATCTGAAGACAAACATGGAACACAGCAAACCACAAAGGGATCTGGCTGAAGGAGCTGTGGAAAATTGGCGTGAGAAAGGCTAATGGAACACAGGCCTAAACAGAGTCATTCTGCATCAGTGCAATATGAACATTTCAAAAGCAAAGACATCACTAAGAAAGGTTTTATAAATATGTACCTAAAATGGAAAAAATCCTTGAAAATGCATATTATTAATCAATTATTTTTCCCCTGTAACAGTCTGGGGAATATCAGACTAACCTAGTGCTTGTTACCTCTTATCCAGTCCTTCCTGACAGGCTTACAAGTGACCACACCTGTAGCAAAGAGAATTGCAAGGGAGAGGTTAGAGATTCATACAAACATCTTCAGGTAAACACAGCACAAAGAGAAGAGGGATTTAAAAGTTTGGAAAAGTTTTCTATTTACAAAATGAACATCCACATTTCATGTAAAGTTTTCTATTTCGTTATTAGTGCTTCAGAGATAAAAGGTAAAATCCCATAAGAAAACTCGTAAATCTGAGTTGTTTTGCGAATACAAAAGAGAAGCATGTTTAAATATTCCTTAAGTGGGAAAAGAGCTTTCTTCCTGGTGTCAAAATGTTCATCTGTATCAGAAAATGGATAATCATAGTTGTGTCCACTGCTATTTATTCAAGAAAGAAAATTAGGTGCACCATAGGTAGGTAATTGTGTCTTCTGTAGGAACAAGCCAGCCATTCTTCTCACCCTTTAACAATCCATCACAACTTTTTTTGCCATCAGCCCAAACCACCAGCTGAGGGGATTTTGCTAATTAACTACAAGTTGCAAGGTGAAAAATTCAGCCATCAGGTTGTTCCTTCTTTTCCTAAGTAATAATATAATCAGAACATGAAAATGCTCCTGTTGGCTTCATCTTATATTCTTATGCAAAACAGTTATTTAAGAACCAGAGTAAATATTGAGAGTATTAACTAGTAAAGCTAATGGATGATAGAGGCCCCATGAAGCTAAAAGTAATGCCAAAATGCTCCAGCAAACAAGGCCATTAGATTTTCCACCCACTACGCTGCCAATAAGGCAAATACAATGATTTCATTTATCTAAATAACTGCTGCTAGTCACAGATAATGGCAGCTTAAGCTACTCAGTGTGCAGTAGGCCACTTGGAGAAACAAAACAAAAACAAAGCACACTGCAGAAGAATAAAACAATTGTGCAGTTGCGTGTCTGGGCTGTGACAGAGAGTGCCCATTATTCCTGGCTACCAGAAGGAGCACGCAGGTGAACAGATAACTGCCTGGATAAACAAATGTTCATAACACAGCTCACACGTTGACAAACTGGCCCACAGACCAAACCTGCACAACCTTGAGCATAAGTAGGCTCTTTCTTTTTCTTTTTTTTTTTTATTCCTTTTTCATGCCTGCATGTACCAGATAAAGTCACAGGACTCCCAGCCAGCGACTAGAACAAATGAGCTGGTTCAAAGGGCTGTTGTGAGGCGCTCTCTCACCGTACACAAAGTGCCATTTTTCCTTTGCGTGCTCAGTGCCATCTCTAATCCAAAGCAATTGCCCTAAGGTGCCAGACACATACAGAACGAGACAGCCAGCAACAGCAAGAAGCATCAATCTGCCTCCTCCAGATACTAAATGTTGCTGGACTGAAAACTCGTGCTTTATTCTGCCTGTGTCCCACCAATTCCAGAAGAACTCATAATAATCTCAGCTGTTGCTCCTCAAATCACCACAGTAATTCTGTAATGAATGTGTCACTAAGGAGGGAAAAGTCATCTAGATTTACTCAGCAAAGAATATAAAAAGGGGGCTTTAATTACAAACAAGATGCTTTATTTTCAGGCAGTTCACAGTTAATTTTTTCACACTGCCACCGCAGGGAAGATGTTTTAGCTGATCAGCAAGCAGACCTTGAGCCACATGGTTTACAGTGCAGAACTTCAGTGTAAATGGAAGTGGTGGCTGATTTACACTCTGCAGCTGAGGGCAGTAACTTTCTCAGCCAAACCACACGAGCTATCCATGCTCATGTAGAAACCCAGGGGATGGAGGGAAGTGTGGAGAGGAATTATCAATAAATGTTTCCAGCACTGTTTTCCAGAAGATGGTGGACTCCGTGTCATGCTCTGAAGTGAGCAAAATAATGGAAAAAACAGCAAATGGACTGGGTGTTGGTTTCTCAGGCTGCTTGTCAAAGGGCTCTGAAACCTCACTGATGCAGCCCTGAGGCTAGAGAAATTAAATGAAATATTGAAAAACATTCAAACATGTTACAGCAAAACAATATTGTGGGCAACAAAATGGCTCAGCTGGTATCTCGTCCTTGATGAGCAGGTACTCTGGCATCCAGAAGGGCAGCGTAAGGTGAACCTTGAAAACTCCATCAAAGAGCTTTGGCTTGGCTCTTTTCTTGTCTCTGCCTCGGGGACTAACAGATTCAGTGGTACAGAAAAGAAATTAACATTAAGAAGCTTGTGAAGAAAGATTAGAATCTAGAATATCACTACTCACATAAGATAAGGCTTAGAAGGACAAAGGTAAAACAAAATTATCAAACAACTGTTCTGTATGACTGAGGAAATACCATCTCACCAGAAGAAGCTGCAGCATGGGAACAGCAAAACATTTTCCACCCACTGAAACAAGCTGGTTTTCTCCCACCAGTAACAGCATAAAGATAATTTAGATTAAAATAACTGGAGAGCATTTTTTAATACAAAAACAATAAAGGAAGGACTGTCCATCTGCGGGCTGAGGTGGAGCTGAACCAGAAGCACCCAGGCATGGAGGAAGACCACCAGCAGACCCCACAGCCTGGGCTTCTGCCTCAGAGCAGGAAAAATATCTTCCACTCAATGCTCAGCTCCAGGGCCCAAGTAACAGCTGGTGGAAAAAGACATGGTGCAGCTAAACTGCTCTGAAATTATCTCAGGACAGGTGCTCTTCTCAAATATTTACCTTCTGAAGTAGCAGAGGCTGTGACCAGACGTAAAGCTTTGAGAAGCAGCTGGGCTCACACGTGCTTTACAAGGAAAGGACCAGAAGTCAGCATCAGTGCAGGAGAGAGAGCAAAACACAGCTTTCTTTTGTTCAAAGTACCTGATTTCAGTCATGCATTTGCAGCACTACCACCAGACCTGACCTTGAAAACATCACTTCCTTGCTCTGCTCCTTTGCATTTCCACCTGTTCAGCACCTGGAAGCATGCTTTTAACCTGCAACTTGTCATAACTGAACTTGATACATTCAATTTTGATTTAAAAATCCATATTTTATGTCTCTCACATATACAGTAGAAGCACTGGCCTTATTTTTTAAAGGAACACTTGACTCCTTTGTTTTAATTGTACAAGGTGTACTTTTCCCCTATTAATAGCTCTATAATGTAGGATTTAATTTACTTTCCACCATTTTACTTTTAATTATTACCAGACTCCTAAGCAATAAACAGAAGAACCATATTGATGGGACAAGCCTTTTAAATGATGGGACATAACAATTATGAATTACAACTTAAAAGTCCCTAGCAGCACTTTTTTGCTATAAATACTGGCTGACTTCAAAAACTTCAAAAGGAAAAGACTAATATTGTACAACAGTCAATTAATTAGATATACTGCAGATACCTTTCTAAATTAATTTAATTATTAATAGCACAACTCTCAGATTTAAATTCTGACTCAAGTGTTAGCATCCATATATTTTTTTTTTCAAGGATGAATATATCAGATTGCATGGGCCACTTAATTTAATTGCAAATTATTTTCTCTGCTATCATGTGGTCTATTGTATGTTGAGTTCACCTTAGTGCACTTATTCAGACAGCTGTGCTAGGTGGCAAAACTTTAAATCATCCATAAAAACAAACAATATTTTGCATTTCTTCTCTCTGTTCTCTGTTATTTTCTGTGGAACATGTCAGAATTTTATTCATAGTTTAAATAAAATGATTGTAAAATAGCACGCCTGTCACAAGCAAATCAAGAGTGTCCTTTTTAAAGACATGAAAATGCTTAGCATCTTTCTGTTCTAATCCCAAGCATGTTTGGGGACTGGTAATTTCTTTTCAGAAGGAATGTCTCCACAGGTAGGGAAGTTGTTTTGTCAGTTCTGTGAAAGAGCTTTTAATTACCTGCATTTAATTGAGTCTTGCACATAAACATTGGGAAACAATTTGTGAGGTTTTCTGAGTCAACAACATGGTTCACACAATAAATCATTCTTTCTCTCTGTACTTAACTCACATGCTGTCTTTGAGCCAGGCTTTGTTGGTGTTCCAGGTTTTTTTTCTTTTCAGGGATTAGGAAAAGCACAGAGAAAAAATCTTCTGGTCCCAATTGTGTGGCATGGAGCAGGTTTGGGGTCAGAACAGGACAGCTCCATTTTCTTCTCAGCTGCACCAGTTAAACATTAGGAGACTGGACAAGCCTTGTCACCCTCAGTTTGGCATTTGCATTGAAGTGGAGACAAGTATTTCCCATTCCTGTTGCAGTTTTCTGAGAACTGAAAACACAAAACCCGCACATGGGAACACAATGCCTCGTGACTGCTTTGCAGAAGTTCAAACACCAATTTGGGCAAAGATGAAATAAGGCCTGCATTTTCCAGTTTGCTTCTGTTTGCAAATTGGATTAATCTCAGCAAAACCCACTGATTTCCAACTGTGGCCACGACTTCCTGCAAAGATAAAGGGAAGGAAAGACATGACTAAATGCTTGAGAAAAAATCCAAATATTTGGATTGCAGCAGAACCCAGAGGTCCCAGATAAAACCAGCAGAAAACTGCCTCTGTTCTGATGTGTTCCTCTCAGGGATAGGATGTGGGAAAAAGAGTAGCTGTAGTACTATTTAGCTAATTAGTGTCTTAGTTTGCTCTTTGTTTTACACAAGACGTGAAAGGTTTTCTGTGGACAAATCAGAGCACAGAGTACACCAAGGAGAAAATGCTAAACATTTTAAAGACCTGACTGCACTGGCTGATACTCTGGGCTCCAATGTCTTCATAAATTGATAAGAGTGATCCTGCAGCGAGGAAGACTTTTACTGAGTTGTTATTTCAGTCCGTGTTTTCCAAGATAAATAAAATCCAGAAATATACTGCAGAATGAAGTGGTGGTGTGAGTTTCTGCAAGCAAAGTCACGGAAATCACTGACCACTCACCCTTGACAGATCCTTCCTCCTGATCCTTGGCTCTTGTCCCTGGGAAATTCTGCTACAAAGGAAGGTTAAAACAAACATATATCACTAATGACAGAAAAGATACTCACAAAGCTGACACAAGAGAGTGGTACTGATGTACAGGTAATTCTGGTCTCCTGAAAAATTGACTAAATTCCTTATGGAAATTTTAAGGCATACTCCTTGGGAAAAAAATAAATCCTATGGAGACAGACAGAGAGAATACTAATCACATTTCTTCTCCCTAGCCATAATTAGTAGGGAATATTTGCCTTGAAACAATCTCTTTTTCTCCTTCATTCATTTGATCAACTGCTTATCCCTCACCTGGAGCCATAATCTCTTGTCTGAAGCTTCATAATCTTCTGCACTGCTAAAAGGATTAGGTATCCAGGTGAAGCCTAAACAGCAGGAACAGATGATCACACAGGAAACAAACACTATTCTGATTTTTCAGATGGCACTTTTCCCCACAGTAATTAGGTAAAAAGAAACTCTAATCACCACTGCCTCTTAGAAAGAAAAGAAGGAACCCTATAAACATATAGAAGGAAAAAAAAACCAAAAAAACCCAACACAAACCTTAAGACATAGCTTTTTAAATAATTCTCCCCCAAAGTAAAACTGCATAAAATTACAAAATGAGTAATATTAAAAGAGAATAAGAAGATTAAGGAAAAAAAAAAAAAGAGACAGACATTATTCTAATGCTTTAACAATTTGCTGCAATCTTTACAATGCAAATATTTTATATTCTGAAAACAGATGTCACTTTATCTGAGCTTCTGAAAAAACTGGTGAAGCTGAACTGGGGGTGGGAAGGTAACATTTTCTGTCTGTAGTTTTCACTGGGCAAGACTGACTCTGCCAGTGTACAGCCCACAAACACATGCTCATTTCTTTTATAAATTTATAGGGCATTTCTTGCCTGTGACTTGTTTTAAAGCCAGGACATCCATTAAGGTTAAGCACTCTGACTGCATGTGATCATTTAAAAATGCATGAAGAAAAATTTTGTAAAATTCAATATGTACTTAATTCAAAATTCAACATTTGTAAAATTCAAAACTCAAAACTGTAGGATCTAAATCCAGCCAGTTCATATCTTTTTGACACACCTGATATTGGAGACTTTTGTTGCTTGCCATTTCACTCTTTTCCAACTAGACTTCTGACGTTAGGGTCAAATACAGCTGAAACTAACTGGAAAATTTTCAGTAATTGCTTTGGTTGTCTAAATATGTGAGAAAACAAAAAAAAAAATTAAATGCATTCTGCTCTTTCATTATATCTAGGTATACAATAAGTTTTACAAAAAGCAAACAATGGCAGATGAATATGACTTTTTTGGTTATTCAGTAGTGCTTATATGTGGGAATTGGATGAAGTGCCAGCATCACCTGGAAAATGAAGCCACTAGAGAAGCAGAAAACAAAGTCAATCTATTCAAAACCAGATAATTCTTCATGCCTCCCATCTTTGGTTCAAGTAGGTGCTCCTACTTACCAATCTACCAATATTGTCTGTGCCTAATAGTGTGTTAATTCCTTCCCTGGCAGTTTAAGGAGCAATGGATCTGCTTCAGATCCATTGCTCTCCATCAGGAACCTATGGAGATTTACAGGAAGTCAAGCAAGCCAGCCAAAACCTGTTCCCAAGAAGTGCAGTGTCCCTTTCATCATGTAGGATAGATTTCAGTGAGTGAATGGACATAACAAGGTTGGAAAGGTTGTTAAAAATCTGCAAAAACTCCAGTCCAGTGTAGATTGGGTTAACAGATTTTTACTGGTGGAACCAGGCCCTTCTGTGCTCCTGCCAGCAACACAGGGGCAGCTTCTAGAGAGCTGTCAAAAGATTCTGTCCAAGCAGACAAAACTCAGCACCTGAGCCAGGGGAGATGATATTTGCCTACACCTACATTTATTCTGAATGGTTATTTAAAGTCTGATCATTTGGCAAAACTCACTGAAAAATAACAGCCACACAGAGTCAAACTTCGCCTGGCAGTCCTGTCTATTACACTGTTACAGACAACTACAAACCCTTGTTTTCGGGCAGAGATATCCATGGAAGTGGGAGCAAAAATTCAGCAGGGTTTGGGCCAGACAGAACACGTGTGCTGATTCTGTGGCAAGGATTGCCTCTGGTGGTGTTACACACTTAATGTTAAGCTGAATTTGAAAAATGCAACTCATTAACTTGAATTATGAAAATAATGCAAAAGGGCACACACGAGAGGATTTTTTTCCCTTCCCCCCCTCCCTTTTTCTCCCCCCATTTTGCTTTTCTCTGAAACCACTACCACTCTTCCAGGAGATGTATACACTGGCTGGAGGTTTCCAGGGAAAGTTACCCTACCTAAGACATTTGTTGTGATCTGAAAACCCCTCTCAACTCCAGCTGTGGCCAGGGGCAGAGGAACAACAGTGAGCAGGGTTTGCCATGCAGGCAGGCACAGGGCTGGGCTCATTCCTCAGAGCAGCCTCGGGCCATTGACCTTGAGCAAAGCTCATCTCTTTCCTTCATGGAATGGAAAAATGACTTAAAAGGCAAAAACCAAGACTAAAAAAGGTATAATATGGAACAGCCTGCTTTTTTTTTTTCCCCTCCTTCACATTTGTATTCATTATTCTAACCACAGCATGTACTAGAAGAGCCTAGAATCTAGGGCAGGTGCTTTAAATGTCATACATAACTCCAATCCACTAAATATCTCAGAAAATTGGAACACCATCACAGTGATTGCTCAGTCACTAATTAACAATGAAGGACAAAAAATCACTGCAAATGTGCTATTTGGCCAAGAATTGACTAAAAGGTAAAGTGTGGAAAAGAAAGTATGTGTGTGTTAATGGAATATGCAACATTTGAGAGCTGTAAGCACCTGGGGAGGGCAAAAAGTTATGCTTTCTTAGACAACCTTAAATAAGAATGAAAGTCACAGAAATTAGGGATAATTAATAATTGGCAACAAAAATAGGTTTTTTTGAGTAACAAAGGTTTAAAAAAATATTTGTGTGTAAACACCACAGAGTTAAGGTATCAGTTTCTTCAAAAGAACTTAAATTTAGGTTGAGCTTTATGTTAAATATTAGCCATTCTGACCAAATTAATCATCTATGGTACTCAAAGAAGAAAGTGTTAAAGATGGATATGCCATAGATGTGAGCTGTTGACCAAGAACTTGTAAGTTGATGAAAATAAGAATCTTTTAAATATTACAGCTTGAACACATTTTTGACACAGTTTGATAACTTATTGGTTAAAAGATAACAAGTGAGAAAGAAGTAGAGTACGCTAAAAAATAAAATTATAGTAGGACAATGTGACTTTTATATTCAATGCTTGCACAAGATAAATTTACTAAAACTATCAGATTTATGTTTCTAGAGAGGGGATATTCAGTACTGTTGTACATCAAGTAATATTTCTTAGTAAAGAAGAAAGAACCAGTGTTCCTATTGAATCTCAATTGATTTGTGCTGTGTTGCTGCCAACACAGACAAACACAGGAGATTAGTAAAAGGAGAAAATGCTTATTTTATATATAACTGGATCAAATGTGATCCATCATCCATGAAGGCACAGACTGTGCACCTCAGCTGAAACTGCTCCTTGCAGCCATCTGGTCTAGACCATCACCTGGCCAGTCTGGGCAGTTTGTGCCTGCCAGGTGCTCTGATGCCTCTCGGGTGCTGTTTGGGAATCACCTCGTGCTGTTTTGGGGCACAGTCAGGGAAAAAGGTGGATGAAAACAACAGAAGAAAGAACAAAACAGGCACTGGGGCAAAGTAGCAAGAAGCTCTCCAGGGTACAGAGCTATGATTTTCTCTCTTTCAATAACTCCAGCTGATCTGCCAAAGTCAATTTAACTCTCCTCCCTGTCTTCAGGTGCTTTGGTTTTGGGTTTGGTGTTTTGGTTCTGTTTTGGTTTTTTTAGTGTTTTTTTTTTTTTTGTTGGTTTTTTTTTTGGTTTTTTTTGTTTTTGTTTTTTTAAATTTTTTTCTCTTTTTTTGGTTGATTTTCAGTTCAGGGGGAGATAGGGATGTTTTTCTGTTTGTTTGTTTGTTTTTTGGTGGTTTTTTTGTTTTTTTAAATTTTTTTCTTTTTTTGGTTTTTTTTGGGTTTTTTTTGGTTTTGTTTTGGTTTTTTTTGGGTTTTTTCTGGTTTTGTTTTTTTAAATTTTTTTTTTTTTTGGTTGTTTTTAAAATTTTGATAAAAGATATGATAGAAGATTTTTACCATTTGATTCAGGTAGGTTCAATTAATGACCTGGCACCTTCAGTCAACTAATTCAGAACGTGTCCTCCTTTTCTTCTTCTGACTCACCCACAGTCCTAAGTACAGCTCATAATTTCATCAAAACTCTTGTTGTCCTGGTTAACTTCGATGTTTCCAATTACTTTTTTCTGATTTCATTTGCCTCTTTGTTTTTCCTTTCACTCTATTCTCTCTGTACTTGCTCTAAGTAGTAGCTTAGGTCCTTAAAATCATTGCAGTAGTGAAAGTGATACCTGGAATGCCTATTCAATAACATAGCTGCCCTGCAAGGACTGCTGGATTCTGACCAACTCTGATGAAATTCAGCCTAGTTCATTCTGAGAGCACACCCACAGGCTGCAAATGAGATAAAAACACGTGTGCTGAGGATGTTGAGATGTAATAACACTGATAATGTTACACAGGCTAACATCTTAACAAGGATTCAGGGAGATGTACAGGGAACATTTGAGGAAAAGGACACAGCTGAGGGAAAACAAGGAAGAGGCCAAGCAGCTTTAGTTCATATCTACTCTAGATGGAGTAGGAGAACTAAATAATCAAATTCCAGCATCTTAAATCAAAGCACTGGAAAGCTGAATTTCTAGTTTTTTACATTAAAGTTATATTGCTTGTTAGCTCAAGTGTTTAAGCCCTTTTCTTTTTTAGTTCAAAAATGTTAAATTTTGTAGTCCATCAATCAAACCGTCTCAGAGTTGTTACTGGAGCTAAAAAACCTCATAAGGGAAAAAAATTAAAAACAAATTAATGTGAGAAGATGAGATAAATCAAGTAGTGAAGTCAAGAGTAAATTATCAAAAAGATCTTTTATCAAAAATGAATAATTTTTTTCTACTTCAAGAGTAACCCATTAATTTTATTCCCCCCACTCCATTCCTTAGCATGACTGTAGTTCAAGCAGCATAATATAAAAATAGGCTTATTAAGATATGAAATATGTTTAACTCTCATCATAAGCACAACATTCCTTTAAAATTTAATTAAAAAATATATATAAGTCAGGAGAGCATAAAAGCATTTACACTTTTCAATAATTAAGGGCAAAAACGCATCTATAATTAGCAAATGGTAAGCAAAAGTGAGCCAGAAATAAATGTCCTGGGTTGGATTTGGCAACTCTGACAGTACTCTGACTGCTTTCATTGACCTTAAAAGAGCTTTTGCAGCATTTCCTACAGAGCAATTCCAGGGATGTTTTTCAAAAGACAGGATGTAGGAGGTCCAGTGTGATTTGATATCAATCAGGCAGAGTGATTCCTTGCATATCTGTACACGTCACGTCTACATGACACAGAGCTCCCTAGTCCTGAAAGAAAAAGAGACACAAAAAGCATAATATATTCCTCTTTAAGGCTTTTATCTCACTGGCATCCCTCAATGAAGCAAGCTCTTAAATCCCTGTCTGGAATGGCCAAAGAGAAGAGATGGGGCATGGCAGCCCCTCCCTGACACAGGTGTACGACTGAATCCTTTGGCAGTGGCTTATTCCATGTGCAGACTTGTTCATTTTGCTTGTTCACTTCTGCACGATCCTGTGCATCCCTATTCTCTCATGGGATAATCACCAGATGAGGAAGCACCAAAGCGTCCTTAGGCCAAGGCTTCATGGTGCTAAAGGAACATCCAAGGGCACTGCCAATCCCGAAAGGAAGAACCTGAGTGACAGATTCTGATCCTGGGGAATCGGCTGCAGAGGTTATCAAACATTATGAGATAACTGGCACAACAATTTCAGGGATTCTGGGAACTCGATGAAAGAGCTTGCAATAAAATAACAAGGTAAATCACAGCAGAGCAGATTGGGGATGCAGCAAAAGTACTGATGGGGAAGGCAAAGTAATAAAGATGAAAGAGTTTGCCAGTCATTATCAGCTCTTGTTAGATTATTATTTGTCTGAGATACCTATATCTATATCTCAGGAGCTGTAGGAACCTAAATACCATTTCATAATTCATACGCAGCCTGAGAGGTAGGCAGAATTTTCAGGCAAATTTACAATATTAAAACACTTCTTCAAAATCAGTATACTGAGCCTTGAATCCTGCTTTCCACTTCATGTAATTCTGATGCTAATTACATCTGGTAATTACATTTCTGTGTCACAAAGACAAAACCACAGCTTTAAGGAGGAAATAGAACAGTTGTCATCAATCTAAAATTTGTGATCCCAGAACTTTCCCAACTGACCTTAAGGGAACCCAGTTCAATGAAAAATTCAAGAGAATCTACTGAACAAACAAAAAGCACTGAAACCACTTTAGCAAGAGCATTCAGGATTACACAGACTCTATTGCTGCTTTAGCAAGTTGTCAGGGCAACAACTTAATTTCACTTAATATTTAAATAATATTTAACATTTAAATAATGTTTCACTTAATATTTAAATAAATATACTTAATGTGAAAGAAATACACAAGCATATTTGCCTGTCTGTATATTTCCCTTAATGAATGTACAGCCTATAAAAAAGCCCATCAGCAGAATTCCACAAGAGGAAAATCAGTCTTTTTATCCAGTTCCTAAAAAAAAAAAAAACTAAAAAAAATCTCAGTAAAAGAACAATCTGATGATGTGTTAAGAAAGTTTTCATTGTTTATTGGTTATGCATATATGTCTAGGAATTCCCTAATTAAACCAGAAATTTTGTGTTAGGTTTGTTCAGGCATACAAATAGGAGCTGCTCCTTACCCTAAAGCAGATGGAATCTGGTAAGTATCGATGCAATCTTGCACTCAAAGAGAATAATAAGAATTATATTTTGTGTGCATAAGCATAGGACACACACACATCCAGAAATGTCCTTTCTATGGAGACAAAACAGCCTTAAAAAGGAGAGACAGAACAGTCACAGTGGCCAGGTGTTCCTAAAAGCGAAATGTAGAGCTTTAGTACCATTTCCACTTAAGGTCATGGCAAAGATGTGGTCTGGC